TAAGGTTGGTGTGTGTAAACTACTCTCCATGTGCGATCAATACTAGCCGCATCTACACCCTGCGGGGTCGCGTGCCCTAGCAAATAGTCAGGAGGTAATTACTAGGATAATATTCACTATCCTGATAATATACTATTATACTACTAGTATACTCCTGATAATTACTACTGCCTGCTAATATGTTCACGCCGTAAGGATTTTGTTTACATCTTACAACAACATTACCCAATGTCATTTCAAAATGAATTGGATGGCTAATAATTGACTCGATGCTAGAAGCTATTTTCACACGTGATTTTAAGCGCCTAACTGTAATTAGTATAAGTCATAGAGTATAGTCCGTAGTTCCGACTAAAATAAATGCTCGCATTGTATCATAGATATATACAACACATATGTTATATATGTAAATTCTTTTCCACCACTCGATTGTTATTATCTATGATTGTGATATAGCAAACACTCGCGTGAGTAAAGAATGAGTGCTACAGTTATTTATACACTTCCGCACTCTGTACCTTTATGGAGTTATTTAGTAAGTAGTGACGTAACAAAGGGCCTTTGTGTAGGCATAGCTTATGACGCATTGGTGGTTAATTACTTTGCTATATATACTAGGCACCTACATTGTATTATTTCGTGTAGTTATACGGTTTGATTATTTTTTAAGGCATAGGTTTATAGTTCAGACGATGGAGTTTTATAGTGATTATTTCACATAGACTCGATCCCTCTACTCACCTAAAACGAATATCACAAATTAAATTAATGCAGATCATACGACCCATTTGAGTTGTTAATTAACAAAATGATGCCATTCCTTGTGCGAATTTGTTTGTCTGCATATTTGTTGCTCTATGCATGTTAAGCATTTTAAAATCGGTGCGTTATATTTACAGGTTTCGACAATACCTTCAAGCTGATGCTAATTTCTAGACATCACACTGATTTTATTGGGGCTGCTGCTTGAACGTTTATAGCAACACGATGGCCGTATAGTTTTCCCGGCGCAATTATCTTTTATTATTAGCTCCGTATAGTGACGTGGGACACATGGGAATTAGAAATTGTTGAATTTGGTAAGGGGCCCCCAAACACTTATGATTTGCTTCGCACCATTCGCTGCAGCAATTTCCCCACTGATTCTACTGTTTGTGATTATTATATGAATGATGAGTGTGGGCAGCCATGCTGGGATGAATTGTTGTGCTCCTCTCTTTGATTTTGTTAGAAAATGAGCGTGCAGATGCTGCCATCTACTGGTGTTTTTATTCTCTGCTGAAATCCCGAGTATGTCTCATGTAAGCAGACGCTGGGGGTACCAGTTATCCCATAAATCTTTCGACGTGCCCTAATTACCTCCGCGCAACGGAGTTGCAGGGAGGTAATGTGATCGCTCTCGTGTGTGTTCGTGTGTGTGTCGTGTTGTGTGTAGCAGCAGCGAGCCAACATGTTACATGGCGTTAGCACGATTGATTCCAGCAGCCAGCTCGCCTTCAGGCGTCCAAGTCAGCAGCAGCCAGCAGCGAGCCAGCTGTTATACACATGTATACATGTTACACGCTCGCGGAGGTATGCACTCTCTTTGAGTGCCCTCTATCTAGTTTCGAGCTGTGTTTCCTTTTGACAATCCCAAAACAGTCATGCTGTGCTGTGTCTCCAAACTGATTGTGTTTTCATTTTTAACAGGGCAACTTATGGCACGACCCCCTTTCAGGCCCTTTAATAAACGACATGCATTTTGAAATTCTTGGTGAGAGCCCTGAATTAAAAATGTAATACTAATGAACTAAATTGCTAAAGTATGTGTACAGTTTGTCCATTACCCCTAATTTTCTGGTGTATCTGTCCAGCATACCATATAGTACATAATTTTGACCAGCGTACAATAACTTATTCCATGTTGTTAATTGTTAGCTCATCTGACGTAGTCAGATGCAGCTTGTAGAATCGCATGATCGTCTGTGCGTCCGTCCGTGTGTGCGTGCATGCGTCAACAGTTGGGCACAAATCTTAACCGCTCGACGTACGGATTCGAAAGTCGGGACGTGGGGGGGTAATCTGAAAACGAGTTGGGATGTCGAAGCTGGGGGTCACGGGTCAAAGGTCAAGAGGTGTAAAAGAAGGGGGAACATTCTCTTCTTAACTTAAGGTATAGGGAGGAAATGCAGAATTGCAGCACAAATCTCAACGGCTCGATCTACGCTCTTAATATTCGATGTATAGTGTAATGGGGAGGAAACCCATCACCAGCACGAAATTGGAGGTCACAGGTCAAAGGGCACTGGGGAAAGGTCAGATATCAGACATTTTCTGAGGACATGGTCTAACGGACCGAGTGCAAAATTGAGTTTATTGACGCACGATTAGTCAATATATTAGCAAATATATGCGCGCGGAAGTGAATTACAGATGATTAAATGTTCGAACCACCCGACTCCGAACCCCCCTACCGCTCCCGCCTGTACTGTGTGTACTGGTTATCTATATTATTTCTATGGTACTGGCGCATTGTACAGCTGGTACATGTATTGGCATTGTATACAGGCGGGCACGGTAGGGGGGTTCGGATCGAGTCGGGTGGTTCGAACATTTAATAGTCTGTAATTCACTTCTAAGGAATATCTGCATTGGTCACCCCCTCTAATAATTATAGTACTGCCATAAGCTACAACTGTGCCAAGTTTGAGACTTTTGTCACTCCTGTAACGATTCGGCCCATATTTTGCACTAAGGGACCTGACTATACTTGCGGGTTGCTGAGTAACCGAGTTGACGATCAGCGCCGCTAGCGGCAGGTGCGCGCATAGCCGGTGTCTCATTACGTAAATGCATCCATTCAGTTTGCAAATGTGCAACGAGCAATATGAAACGAAATGAACTTTTCATAATTTTCCATTAGAATAAATGGGGGTTTCCACTCAATAACTTGATGTGCCTAATCGATGTCAATAAAATTTATGTAATACATGTGACGCCAACTGCGAACATGTGAGGTGGGTCAGCTTTTAAATATGCCATTAGCCGGTTGAACAGCTTCCTGCCCATTAGAAGAAACACTCGTGTGCATGGAGTGCATTATAATTTATCATAATAATAATAATCAATATATAATCATGTTTTCCATTGTGTACTTCATAATTATGTTTGTATTGAGCAAAAATATTGGGGGGGGGGGCAGGGCCGGATTTATGCATTAGCTAAACAAATTAAAGCATAGGGCCTCACAGTCTGAAGGTGCCTCTCAAAATCTCAGATTTTTTTCATTCGTTACAGTTTTATTATAATTTATATTTAAGTAATGATTTAACCTAATTAACATAACCAAATTAACAACAATTAACGTTAACCAAGTTATACCCAATTATTAAAAAGAGTCCATCCAGCCCTGGGGGGTCAGGGGTTAATTATTTACTTCTATCGGCCAAAAAACCTCATATGGATATATCTCAAGTGTATAATAGAAGTCGATAGTGATTCACGATATGAAATTTTGCATTATGAATGGTATTTCTAGAAACTAATTATGGTTATGCGTTACAGGGTATTACTGTGCTCCACCACATAAAAGTAGACGACTAGTTGGCATTTGTAGTCAAACGGGCAGCTAACTAGTGAGAGCATAAACTATACTTTGAAACTAGGTTTACTACGTAGACAAAACACCTGCGTAAACCTAAAAAGTCAGTTGCGTGTGAACTATGGATGCGATATCTATGCCTATGGCTGATAGTGATAGGGTCTATGTCCCCCAGGGACCCAGGGTACTGCCGGAACGTACCCTGGTACTAAATACTACTATCTAATATGCCGGACCGTACCTCGCCTACTCCACTAACGAGTCTATTGAGTCGCTTACTCCTACTCCCTAACCCTAACCCTAACCATATCAGCTAGATAGTTACCAGGGTACGTTCCGGCAGTACCCTGGGGGACATAGACCCTATGAGCATTGGGTAATGCTATCCCCCGGGCGTGGAGGGAGGTTACCGCAACGTGGCAGCACTAGTGTTAGATGTTTATTGATGTCACACTCCTTCCCTATTATCTACTTCTGATATATATATATATATATATATATATGTGTTCGTGTAAATATACTTACGTTAGATTGTAGTATTATGAATTACTTTATATGTACTTATACTCTTTATACCAGTTCACTTCATCACGTTCTGCTACAACAGGCCTCTTTGTTTGTGTGTGCATCATTAGTGTGTTGTATGTTGCAGCCCAGCACTGGGACAGGGGTTCAGACTGGGATTCCTCGGCCTGCTCCACATGGAGGTATTTAACCAGCGGCTGGAGCAAGAGCACAACACATCTGTTATCGTGACTGTACCCAGTGTCCCATACAAATGTAAGCTCGAGCATATAGTAGACAGATCTGTACGTAACGGTCTAATAGTCTGTATAATCCTTGAATCGATGAACACACACTCTGTAATTACTGTTTCAGTCAAAATTATGGGAGAAAAGAATATAAAAAAGTACAGAGGAGAACATATCACAATTATAAATCCTTGTGAGGTAAGATTTCTCTTGATAAGATTACGAAACTTGAATGGAAATGCATGTATATATTTGATGACTGAGTCTTCAATCAGTGGTAGAATCCTGTTGCCTACTGATTTTGGACGTTAGCATACTTATAACTAGGGGTGCACCGGAACTTGGATCTGGCCGGAACTATCTCGCCGGATACCTAATTTTTCAGAGTTCCCGTTCCGGCTGGAACCCTTTAGGAACATTTGGCCGGATCCGGAACCTTTTCCTAATTTCATTTCTGCTATAAGCGTCATCAAGATCAAAAGATCAGTCACTGAATGTAGTTGAGCATCAGTAGAGTCAACTTGCTGACAATATGGTGTTAACAACTTCACACTATTCCGCCCAAAAAACGTTTGCCACTTAAACATCGGCTAACTAACTGAACTCAACCTAACTGATGTTAGGTGATTCACAAGATTTTCTTAATGAGAACATGTAGAACAATGAGCATGCCATTGTCCTACTCGGCTGAGTGATGTGCCTGCTAATAATGTTTCGTTCAGGCCGAGTGAGTTTGAGCAATACTAGGCCAAAACTGTCAAGTTTATTCCCAGCTTAAGTTCCGGTTCCAGCCATGTAGTTCTGGCCGGAACTTTTTTCACGTTCCGGCTGGTTCCGGTTCCTGCCGGAACTTAAAAAGTTGGATCCGGTGCACCCCTACTTATAACGAAACACGTCTGATATATAAGTGACCTTTATTCTGCTGACAGATTCCGAAATTAGATTAATAGTGAATGTGAAGTGTGCGCAGATGTCAGTAGTGTATTCATTAATTTTTCTAGTATCCCGATGAAGTTATCATAACAGAAAAGAGGGAGCCGATGGTCATTGGAACCGTCATCACGCCAACTGATCACATATCCACAGTAACAAATCTTTGCATGGTAAGTGCAGTAGCAGCTTCTCGTGTGGCAGAACTTATTTTACTGGAGTATACAGACAAGGGCTACCTGTTTATACGTTGTGTTAGTGCGTGCGCCGCAGCCACCTGTAGGTATATTTGGCTCCCTGGTTAACGATTGTTACCCTGCATTTCAGGCACGGAGAGGCGAGCAGGAGTCGTTTTCTTACATTGATGAGAAACGTGCGATGATAAAGTTCAAGATGCCCCTCAGTGAGATTATAATTGACTTCTATGATGAGCTGAAGGCTACAACATCCGGATACGCGAGGTTCGTGGCTGAACTACTATGCAGAAATATCGAAATCATCATAGGGATCCACGCTGCATGGAGCCTATCTAACATGTTTGTCCACGTTTGACACTGTCGTATACTGTATACGCCATATTTTTCGCATACAGATATTTTCGCAAATTCAGACTTGACGGACAATTTCGCGGTCGGTGAATTATGAAATATTCGGTATTATTTGGTATTAATTATTCGCTTGTTGTTATTTCGCGGGTCAGGACCCGCGGTTCACCGTGTCAACAATTGCGGAAAGTTAGTACACCACCCACACGCCTGTCGAATAGTCCAATACAATGTCAAATGTTCCACCAATGAGTATACAGTCATTCGGTAAACATATTCTGATATCAAGAGATAATATATCTAACACAAGAAGATGCGGCAACCCGTCAAAATATCATAACTAATTTTCACCCAAATAGTCATCTTTTGTAACCGAGATTGTATGTCAATCTTCATCAAAATTCCACCGCAATAAAGAATGGTAAGGTAACGTTCCTGCGCGCTTATTATAACCACCTAATCACATCCTCCCGGGATCGTACTATGTGTGCGAGCTCTGAAAGGTCATAAATCACAAGGTAATCACCTTCATCGCACCACAAGTGAGAGGTGTGTTAACATATATATGTGCTATGTCGTTAATTGCTGCGTAAATCGTAATCTTGCACGAGCTGAATTCGATAAATTTACCAAAAATGGCGACTTGTTGGAGGTGTTTAGACAAATAGAAGCTATCGCTGCGCCAATATTTAGCAACGGACAGTTTCCAAATCATGCGTGCCCCGATAGGGTTTGAGAGACAATCTAAATTTCGAATTTTGATCTCGTGAAGAACCTGCGAGACGCGCTCAGTTATTGTGGTCGCAACACAAGAACACACTGAGACAACTACTATCTACATTAATGGTAATAATCCAAAATAATAAACTAATATTCTCTGTAGTATGTTGCAAGTCAGCTATCACACTTACGCGCGCAGAGGGCAGGTAATACAAGTACATTAAACGCCCTATCGGGGCACGCATTGATTTGGAAACTGTCGGTTGCTAAAATATGCGGCGAGCGATACGCTTCTAATATTTGTCTAAACGCCTCCAACAAGTCGCCATTTTTTCGGTAAAAATTTATCGAATTCAGCTCAGTGCAAGATTACGATTTACAGCAATACGCTAGCAATATATGTTAACAAATATCAGTGCCATGAAGGTGAGTG